CATCATCGTGGTCATATTCTTCATGAGCTGGGTGAATTTGGTCGTAGATCATGTAAGTACAAGCATTCGTTTTTCAGGCAAAACTCCATTATTCAATCGAACATTGACCTGCCATTAGAAGCAATTCGAAAACGCCAACATTATGGACTATCGGAGCTTTTCCAAACCACTCCACAATCATTTAATGTTAATTGACGAGAGAGTCTGATTATGAACCAATGCAAGACCGCTACGAAAATGAGTAAAGCCATCGCCGACTGTTCTTTTATTGCCTTGAAACTATGCGCGCTGAGGCAATTGAAACCGCGTTTGTTATAAACAAGCGTAATTCTGCAAATTCCGCCATTCGCTTTGCTTCGATATGAGCAGGTTTCTTTCAAATCACCAGCACCACCTGAAGAATGAAGAATATTCGACAGAGTCGAATTGTTTGCGTAACGTCTGGGTGGTGGTCATTAAGCTTCCCCATCACGTAATGTTTGCTAAATTATGCACAGATCTAATGATTATTAGTTGCCCACTCATCGTATTGTTTTAAGCCTTCAATCAATTCTCATCATCATCATATATAACAACAGCAACTGGTCACATTCCAGCCGAATATGGGCCATGTGAAAGTAAGTTTGGCTGAGAACCGGTCGGTTTATTATAACGAACTTTTGGGCGCAAATGATCATTTGCTTAAGGCTGTTTCTCTTCAACTAACTAACTTGTCAGTTCATTAGAACCCGTCAAAGCAAATACAATTCACTCACTGAATTTGAATCGCCGGCGCGTTTAATAAGGTCATCACTGACGGCCTTGGCTCGATTTGTGAATCGATTCTTTGACGGGCTTTACACGAGAAATGCATTAAAAAAGAACCAGAAGTTGGCCCACCTTGGTCTACAGTTGTTTAACTGCAAAAGGAATGGATCTATGAACAATCATGTCTATAGACATCCGGGACCTGCTGAACTAATGTTCTGAAAACCGTCTTATGCTTTTCTGGCACGAACAACTCAACATTAGAACATTTTGACCAGCAATAGAAGAAGAGCCAGGCATATTTTCTTAATAAAACTTATGCCTGTGTCCCATGCGTCCGTTTATACGATGGTACGATGATACGAAAGTGTTTCTATTGGTTGGAGATCTGTCAATTCGTCCTCCGTTCGTAAGACGGCGGACGAATTGAC